TCGTTTCGCGTTCACCTAGGTGTTTAACAGAAGATATTCTTAACCGACCTAGTTTGCAGCAAACAACTGTTATGAACGTGTCCCATTCATGCATTTCTTAATTTCTTTTTATTTTATTGTTTTTTATACAGCAGCAGCATCAATATGCGTACATTCTAATATTATCTAGTACTAACCTGCAGGATCTGAGGACTTGATTTAGATGCCAAAAAGTAACTCAAGACGCTTCAGCCGCTGTGTGTGTTCGTATATTACTTGCCGGGATTTCTGCTATAGTCCGTTGCAACTCAAGAACGAAGGGCGAGGGTAAGACGGGCCGGAAAGAAGGAAGCAGACGGAACGCTAAAGAGAGAAGGAAGTTTCCCCCTCTCTTTTCGAGGGTTCCCTCTGCTTCCTCCTCCCCGGCCCGTCTTACCCTCGCCCTTCGTTCTTGAGTTGCAATGGACTATAGTATAGCTGCTCTTCAGGGACGGGGTGAAGCAGCTGGCCTATCGAAGACTGGTATCGACGATGTGGTCAGCGCCACAACCAGCTTGGTTACATCGGTGGCGACAGGCATCACGATTGCACGCGGCCACGTAGAGCAGAATCTGCAAGATTTGAAGACTTGAGTTAGACACCAAAAAGGAACTCTTGGCGCTGCGGCTGCTGTGTGCGTGTGTCACGAATTCACCGAGAAAAGACTGAAAGAAATTCGAGGCTTAACATTATTTTTATGGCCGCACAATGGCACTTTTTATACTTTTTTGATATTTGGAAAACATTCCGCGCGAGGTGCAAAAACAAAATAGTTAAAATAGTTAAGCGTTAACTTTTTTGATGCACAAGAACAAAGAGTACTTTGTAGAAAACGCTTCAGCTTAAAAACTGAATTCTAAGATGTGCTCGAAAATTCCCGAAAAATGCCTAAATATGGAACAGTTGTCAAAGAGCCCAAGTTTGTCACGTTATTTTACTTGAAATATAAAATAAAATAAAACTAATTTAAATGCTTCAAATTTGTCACTTGGAGTGCTTCGTAGATAACTGTATGTACGTTCTAGAAAGTTGTATTATTTATTCCTGTGGACCTCAAAGTTGCGTCTACGCGCCATTGGAAAAATCGTTTCTCAACCTCCTCTCATATATGACTTTCAGGAATACACTGTCATACCTTGCCAAACTAAGGTACGTTTCGTTGTCTGGACTTGTTTTTCTACCTCTTATAAAAGTTTAGCTGAAAACAAAATATAGCCCTATACCCAACCCTAATGCCTGTCCTTATCTGAACATACACATTTTTTACTTAACCTTGAGATTTTTTATCTTGTCATCAACGGAAGGCGTGTGCCATTACTACAGTGATGTGATTGGCCTAAGCCATTTTGGATCACCTTTTGGAGCAGCCAAAACAGTGTTTTAAAACAGAAAATGTGGCCTTTGGAGCAACCAAAACAGTGTTTTGGAGCAGCAAAAGTGGCTTTTGGAGTAGCCAAGGCTGTGCTTCGGAACAGAAAAAGTCACTTAAAAAAAAAAAATATTCTTACAAAAATTAAAAAAAAAAAACTCGTTTCAAGTGCTGTACGAACGAAGGGCGCTTTGCGCTGTGTTCTGTTCTAATATGACGTCTTGTGACGGAGCTCGCAGCTTGTGTTCTTACTGCTGAGACGTCCCACAAGTGTACAGTGATGAGGCGATGCCGAGCAATTCCGAAAAACCGCTTGCCACCATTTTACTGATTCCCGACGTGCCAGATTTCCGTAAAAAGTAAACAAACGTAAAACAATGGATTGCAAGCGTCCCAGCTGGTGCCTCTGTCGGGCGATCATGTTCGCATGCACATGAGGGCAACATCGACAGGCTTGCAGTTGCGCGTGTTTCGCCGCGCGAGCGGAGACAACGGCTTTTCGATCGAAATTGTATGCAAAACGTAACTGTCGAACATAAGACAAAAAAAAAGTCCAACGGCGCGGGCTTGCCAGGTCGGCAAACAAGGTACAACCTAACACGGACACACACACGAAAAAAAAAAAAAAAAAAACCTGAGCGCATCGATGCAAGACATCGCGAGCCAGGGTCAAAACATTCTTGGAGCCCTTTGTGTAACGACTGAACTCGAGACAAACGAGCGCGCTGTGCGGGTTCAGCGTGCACACATTGCCTTGCTTGCTTTAGCTCACTTCTCTTCACCAACTTTCTTTCGCGGTAGATTTTTCACGTACCGGGGTCCCCCTTGAAAGAAAGCCCACCGATAGAAACCTAGGAATCAATACTTCGACAGAGCGGTCTTTGAGTAAAAGAGGAATTTTTGTACGAACATATGATTTAGACAACGAGAGGAATGTTGATGAACATGCGGCGGTATACTTAGCTTCATATAGAAAGGGCCATATCTGCAGTGACGTGGGGACGGCAACACCCGACGTCGCGCGACAACGCTGACTGAAAGGCAGGGACCAAATATTGTTTTCCCACGGCCGTTGCTTTCAGGAGGGAGTGCCTGAGCTCACAAAGTAGCTCCCGCCGCGTAAAAACGTGGTTTCGTCTCACAGCATGAAGGCATGGCTGGTACCCGGCACGCTAGCGTCAGAGCGTCCGCACACACCCGCGTCTATCGTTGAAAATATTTGAAAAAGACGCGAGACGAGACCCACGAGACGACGAGAGTGCGAAACGTAAAATGGCGGGGAAATCATGCCAGACCGGATGAACAATTGATGCAGGGTACTTTATGTCGGGCGCCGGCTTGCGCCACATAACACATGCATGCTCAGTTACGTTACTCAGTTTAGTATCGGTGTTGAAAGGCGACCGAAGTTGGTTTTTCGGCGCAGGCTTGGCGCAGATTACCCATATTTTGGGAAAATGTGAAAGGGTGGAGCAGGGTTGACCCTTGGCGCAGTTTGGCGTAATTGGCGCAGCAATCACATCGCTGTAACTGTAAGGAATCAGACCTAAATATTTCGGAGGAAAAAACGAATTTTAGAAATCACGCTATACGATGTCTTTGATGTCTGAGTTGTCGCAAGTTCTGGAACCGAAGTCACAATATGAGTTTTGCTCTGTTCCGTTTCTGTACTATTACACTGACAATATTTATTTAATAATTTTTTGTAGCTTTTCTTCTCACAGTGGATTCTCGAGTTGCACAGTAGCACATTTAACACTACTAGCGAAACTTGGATTTTTTTTATTGCGAAGCAAACGCGAGCTACCGCTTCGGTATATCTGGTACACCCGCCGGCAATATGAAGGTGGACACCTTGCCTGGTTTCTTGTCTGTTTTACAGCTCCCTAAAGCTATATCAACTCTCAACGCCTCAAATGGTACGTGGCTTGGTATCTAAACTTTGCGTTCTAGCCCCCTTTTAGAGCAGAGCTTTTTCCAAATCTTGCAGGAGCGTCAAAAACAAGAAGAGGGCTGTTCACCTTCATATCGCTCACGGGTGTACGTCTGCATCACCCACTGCCAAGGTTATTATTATAAACTCCATTGATTTTATTTATAATCCGCACAAAAGGTGGAATTATATTTTGTCTGTTGCATATACTATTCTTTTATCAATATTCAACTTCCGCTAACGTTGATTAGTGCCAAGGTATCCACTGACCAGCTTTAACACATCATCCAGCAGAATATGGCGAATCTTGGGGTAACATACTCGGATTGATAATCCGCAGACAAAACAGCATGTTGTTTAGGGTGTGCTTTTTTAGATTGCTTCAGCACATCACGAAAAGAGAAATCTCTTTTGACCTCCACTGACATAGTCATAGCCTAGATTCAAAGTGTTCTCTCAAATTTGCTAAGTTGAAGAAGCTATTAAAATATGCAGATGATGACGAGAAGCTGCGTACCCATGGTTCAAACGAGCTACGTTATTTCAAAGTGTCAGACGTTATAAGTGAAGAAACTTATAAAACATCCTGGTATTCATATATAAAAGCGCAAAACGACGAGGAAAGAAAAACGAGGGAGGCATTGAAGAGTACGTCGTCATCTCAAGCGACATTGACGGACGCACTATCTGAAGCCACCACTTTCTGGCAGATGACTCGTACACTATTTTTATGGTTCGCCTTATGCTCTAATAACTCACGACTATATCACCAAGGGAGATGACAATGCTTGAATTTCACAATACGACGTACACGCGTTCGTAATTGCAGCGCACATTATTCGGTTCAGAGATGCTATCCTGGGAATCAATTGAGTTTTTGAAGTTTGCATCTAACATATATTACAAAAGATGATACCCAGGGTGAGAATGTATGATCGGTAAGATATTTAGATATGTTTCGACTGGTACGTTATTCGAGAGCAATCTACACTTAGCGTTTCGCTTTCAATCTAATAATCGCAAACAAGACAGGCTTCAGTTGCGCGCGACTAGCCCCTGCTCTAAGTTGTGACTCGCCTCAACCTATAATTCCACCTATAATTATAACTCACTTTACTTTTGGCGAAGTGTCACGCTTCAAACTGGATTGCTTGCGTTTTGTGCAAGAACGTCCGGCCAGTTACGAACGCAAGGTTTGCCGAGTAAGCGCGTCTGCGGAGAGAAGTCCAGGACAACAAGTAAACGATCGTGCTTTCTCATTAGACAGCATAAACGTTACAAAATGCGCACTATCACCATCGCGCACACATACCTAAATACACGAGAGCAACAAATGGACCGGCGAGAACACCAGACGTAACAAAACAAAACGGCAGGTTCAATCGTAATTCCGTACTCTTTAGACCTCACACCATGAACACAATGTTAGGACTGCACTGAAAACTAACCCAGATGAGAATGCTTCCATCAGACTCCAGGCCCTGTAAATTTAGAGTTAATTAAAAGTCCATAAAAACTTCTTCCAACAAGTTAGAACTTTAGAAAATAGTCTTTTCTTGAAAAGCTTTTGTGATCAGACGCCCGTGTTCCCGCTCTAAGCATGGATTGGTAGGGAAGGCATGGCCTCATTGAACGACATTGCATCACTCTGTATATCTGCCCAGAGTTCGACACAATCTTCCCCGTTCACATGTGTTTCTTTTTGCAGAGCTTCATTGCAGTACCTTTTGATACAATCGCCTCGCGGTCGCAAGTACGAACAAACGATCAATATGCTTAACTGACTTGTCCTCTATTCATCTTTTTGTATTTGGGAAATGCAAAGGTGAGGTTTTCCAGTTTTGGTATACGACTTAATGTAGAAGTTGATGAAGAGCGCAAGAACAACCAGGGATTGTGGAAGAGCAAGCAGTACAAGTGATTTGGGGTATCCACAGTCGTACACAAGAGGAATGCAGCCATGCACGGTGAGGAAGATGATCTGGAAGATCTGCAGTCTCGTGAGGTACCTCTTCCACCACAGGTACTTTTGAATTCTAGATCCAAACGCGGAGAGGAAGTAGTAGCCGTACATCACGACGTGGACGAGAGTGTTCCAACACAACACCATGACCAGGTGACCACCACCTCCAAATTTGAAGTACACCCAACCGTTGAGCACAACCAGAAAATGGTGAATGACGTGCAAGTGCGTGATATGTGAAAACTTCTTGGTGGCAACAAAGAAGAAAGTGTCCATGAAGTCGACGATCCGCACAAAAAGATACCACCAGGATATTTCCAGAAGGCTCATTGCGTTTTCATCAAGTGAGTAGTCAGTCCCTTGGCAAAACACATTGTAGTTTCCACCAACGTACGTGAGACGCATGTACTGCACGAAGAAGAACGCGTTTGCAATCACCTGGAACAGATTGTACACCATGATAGCTGTCTTCAATTTGTACGGCTTTCGGTCCATCATCCATTTTGGGCCTGCTATTTTTACCACGAAAAGGTATCCGAGACAAACTGGCAGCATAAACCTCAGGTCTGCTGTGAGACCCCAGTCAAGAGTCCTCGTGTCCCGTAAAGACATCAGGTAGGCGTATTTCTCACTCATTTCGGCGGCCAGTGTAGATGCCGTTGTCCAAGCCATCGCAGTGCGCCAGTCACCCTGATGAACAAAGCTTCACAGTCTGCTGTACTTCACACTGGGTCTTGACGCAGCTTCTCTTGGGCTATGAAATGACCGTTAGTTGATCAGCTCTGCCTTTAAGCAAGTATTTATCTCTCGCATGCCCTTGAAAGGTCTAAAAAAAACGTGAAATGCGGCTTCGGGAGAGAGTTCGAGAGACCCGCAACGTCCTTGACAGGACGGACGATACGGATTAACACTCTTGAGATGATTAAGGCGATACGGGCTCGAAAAAGTCAAAGCAGTTGATTGAAAGGTACATCAGTAAGTAGAAAAAAGGGCCGGTGACCATGAAATATTTTCCCCCGGTGATTCGTTCGCTCAAGCAAAATTAAGCCCACTATCAAGTAAAAGTTTTATTACAAAAACGCCAGGCATGCGCCTGAACCGTAAAGATGCGTCTATGTTAGCTGCGGATAGACGCAACGATACGCTTTTATTTCTTCTTTAAGTCTGATTGCTTCACTTCATTTCTGGTCCCACTACAACTTATTAGCATCATAGTCACCACCGTGTGCTCGTCCTTGGCACAGGCTTTGTATTCTACCTTTTCCCTTAACTAACTTGCTCCATCTATCGGGTTGGTCTCGCCTGTGTATACTATTTCCTTATTTGTTTTATGAATAATTATTTCACCAAAGGTGGAAAATGATTCGGACATATTACAAGTGACCGTTTTCTCAAAGATAGCTCATTGAGTTCCTTTCGCAAACACAGGGTAGACCAATTAGGACCTAAAGAGATTGTTTACTGTTTGCCAAGCGGTAGCAACTCACACTACAATTAACGATTACATTTGTAATTGCCCATGTCAGTGGTTGAGTACCTCGGCGACGCAGCGCAAGTCTACCCTGCGTGCGAATGTCTACACCAACAAATATTAGTAAACAAACCGCCGTGTTCCTCTAGCCGGGTCAGCGGGGCCGCGCGTGCGGAATGATGTCTGCGAAAGAACTGCTCTGTTCCCCATACACGAGCCACTGGGTTGTGATGTTGTCGGCGCCGGTGCAAATACCTGTACAGTTTTCGCCTTTGAGTTTTTTTTTTTTTTTTAGTTCTCATTATTATACATGTATTCAGCACCACCTGACTTCCTGGTTGACCTCAGCGCAATGGGAAAGGTTCTTTACATTGTAAAGTGTTGCGTAAATGCTGCAAGTAATGGCGATAGATTTGCGTGAACACAGACAGATAGGTGTTTAAGCTTGATACGCAGGCTACGAATATGTCTGTAATATTTAGACGTGACCTCACCGTGCGTAAAAATACCGTGGACGGTCGTTGCGGTAGTCGTAATCACGCCAAAAAGTTACAAGTAGAACCGGACCACGTGAATCAGGCATGAAATAAGGCACATGGTTTCGCTGTCATGACTAAAAGCAAATATTACCCAAAAAACAATAATATATAAATAAATAAATAAATATATATATATATATATATATATATGAACAAATATGTGCAGATGAATGAACCGTACTTAATCCAATGAATCAAAGAATCAAAGTTTCCAGGAACCCGCCGAAAGCCAAAAATTGGCGGAGCCAGGATTTGAACTCTGGGCCTCCCAATGTCCGGTCGGGTGTGCTAACCACTACACCACTCCGCCTTGGCTTTCTGGCGTTTCCTACCTGTCTTATTAATGCACAAGAAACGAAATGTGTCCAATCGGAAGTGTTCTGGAAACACACGCCGCCGCGTGGAACGCGGTGCGACGCTTAGTGTCACGTGGTACGTGCTCGTTTGTGCTCCAGAAATCCTCCCACTGTTTGTCTCGCCCCGTGTACATGTAGTATTCTTTGTTTATGAGCTTTTTTTTTTAGAGACACGGTATCATCATCATCTGCGAGAATCAAGAGCCACGTTATTGAGTATACAACACGGGCACTTCACGTCATCGTACGTGGTCTCCGAGGAGGATATGAACAAATATGTGCAGATGAATGAACCGTACTTAATCCAATGAATCAAAGAATCAAAGTTTCCCGGAACCCGCCAACGTCCGGTCGGGTGTGCTAACCACTACACCACTCCGCCTTGGCTTTCTGGCGTTTCCTACCTGTCTTATTAATGGAAACACACGCGGCGGCGTGTGTTTCCAGAACACCTCCGATTGGACACATTTCGTTTCTTGTATATATATATATATATATATATATATATATATATATATATATATACGGCGAGAAGGTTCAACGGGCCGGTTGGACGTAAAACGAAGGTAGAGGAGTTCCAGGAAAGGCCCTTCCTGGAACTCCTCCACTTTCCTTATATATATATATATATATATATATATATATATATATATATATATATATATATATATATATATATATATATGTATATGTATACAGGGGCACTCCCCGTGAATTGAGCCGAGGTTTAATAATATGTTGGTACATTTTTGGAAGATGAAACCAAACGAAGAAGGTTGTTCATTGTTTGGAGCGTCTCAGGTTATTTTCTGTATTTCGCTCATTCAACTAATTAATTAAGATTAAACGCCAAACTTTTGAAATATTCAATTCAGAGCAAAGGTTTGTAGAGCGTCCTCAGAAACATTCAATTCAGAGAATTTTATCTAGAAACCACTAACACAGTTTGTTTTTCCCAGCTTAAAAACAAAGTGCCCGAATTGTGAAAAAAAAAAGCACAAGAAAAAGGAGAATTTGTCGAAAGCGCAAAATCAGCAGTGCTCTATTCGGCATGCAGGACTAGTTTATTCAAGCCACGGCTGAGAGTGCTGCAATACAAGGTGCACATCCACAAAGTCACACGTTTTTTTTCATAATTCTCAAAGGTTCTTCCATTTCTCAAATTCTCCCATCAAAAAAAAAAAAAGGTTTCTCGATAAGGTTTCTCGATAAAAACCACCGAATTGAATGTTTCTGGGGACGCTTTACAACTCTGTAATTAGTGCGTCTGCTCATAATTGAATATTTTAAAAGTTAAATAATTCATCTTAATAAATTAGTTAATTAGGCAAAATACAAAAAATAGCCTGACTTCCTTCAAACAATGAACACACTTTTTCGTTTGGTGTCATCTTCCCAAAAGGCGTGAAAATATTTTTAAACCTTGGCTCAATTTACGTGGTATACCCTGTATTCCTACACAGAAAAAAGGTCTATGCCGTTTTGGTGTCTACCCAAGAGCCTATTTAAAGAATAAAAATATAATAATGTTTGAAAAAAATAGACTTCGTTTAGTTTTTTTAGAAATTCCCTTTTTATTTGTTCATTTCAAAATCATAGTTTGAATTAGAAACTTACTGGGCATCATCCCCTATATCAACCCCTTTTAGAATAGTATAAAGCATGCCGAGTATTTTACCATGTTTTGAAAGACCCTTCAATTCTGACGCGTACTCTGGTTTCGGATTCTTATCCAAGTGCCTCTCGGCGGCAGCTGTCCTGCCCTCCGACGGCCGAAGCGCGGAACCAAGACCAGACAATTCGCCAGTCCTGCCCGCCCGCCTCCCTCCCCTCTCACGTAAAAAACAAAGAAGTGTAGAGCGCGCGCGTGGCTAGGCGACAGGGAACTCCTCGCTGTTAAAACAATAATGACATTGCAAGATTGAGCTTTGACTTTTGGGCTGGACTTGATCCGGCGCTTCAGCCGTCGGAGGGCAGGACAGCCGCCGCCAAGATGCGCTTGGATAAAAATCCGAAGCCAGAATACGCCTCAGAATTTAAGGGTTTTTCAAAACATGGTAAAATGCTCGGCATGCTTATACTTGTTTAAAAAAGGGTGGATATAAGGGTTATCGATGACGCCCAGTAGGTTTCTAATTGAAACTATGGCCTTGAAATGAAAAAAATAAAAAGTTACCTTAAAAAACTTTGAAAAATTATTTTTTCTAAATGTTATTTTTTTTAAATGGGCTCTTCTGCAGACACCAACGCGGCATCAACCTTTTTACTGTGCGATGCTCGGTTTTCGCAGTAGCAATTTGGCCTGCGTTTTATGAAACCCTATTGGAAAAACCAACATGAAAATCAAACTGGCCGAGATGGTAACTAAGTTGATCAATCTGGTCAATGTGGCAGTCAAACTGGTTTAACTGGCAATCAAGCCGGTTTAATCTGGGCAAGCGAGAATTTAAGCTGGTCAGGTGGTTTAAGTAAAAACCAGCATGGTTTAACTAGAATCTGGTTTTATATTCAATATGGTGTAGCTGGGAGCCAGTCTGGTCCTAATTGGTCAAACTGGTTTTCCATGGAGCCAATGTGGTCAAGCTGGGAGACAAGCTGGTCATGCTGGGAGACAGGCTGGCGAATCTGGTCGAACTAAGGGCTCATTCACACTGGAAGCGGATCCGCGTTCGCAAAGCGGTTGCGAACGCGGTTGTATAAGGATTCAGTACAATTGCACGAGCATTTGATGACATCAAATGCGCGTGCAATTGCACTGGATCTTTATACAACCACGTTCGCAACCGCTTCGCGAACGCGGATCCGCTTCCAGTGTGAATGGGGGGTAATAATCCCGGTGGTCAAGCTGGTCATGCTGGGAGCGCGCACGCCAAGGTCGGCTAGAGAGAGCCGAACTGGCATTGCTGGGAGCGCGCGCCAAGGTCGGCTTGGGCTGAAACGAGGCCATGTCCTGTTCTTTGTCCTCTCGTTTTCGGTAGATGACCGGGCGCATCAGGCGCGCTGCAAGCTACCTTTATGTGCTAGAAAATAGAGAGAGAGAGTGGTATGAACGGAGAATTTGAGACGCGTTTCGCTATCTTGGACAGATTTTCGAGGGGACGGCTGCGTGCGCGTTGTTTGGAGACTACTTGAACGACGGTGCAAGCGAAGCGGGTTTTGAGGAGACAGCGAGCGGCAGTCCGTTCAGTGCGGGAAGATGTCGGACGTCCCGATTGAGGCGTCGCTTCATGTCTTCTAACGTTTGTGTGCTCGTGAATGACGGTGGTGCCGAGGAGTATCGCCAATGCCAGCCAAGGCACACGGATTTCCTCGCCTCTGCCGACCACGCAAGTTGCCGCTTCGCCCCCATCACTGGAGGGACCCAGGTTCGCTT